AAAAAAAAAAAAAAAAAAAAAAAAAAAATTCTATGAAGTTACTCTAGTTTAATCTTTTAGATGCCTTACAAGTATTTTAAACCTAAAAGCAGTCTATTTCTACCTGTCATATAGTTTGTTATGTATTCTAAGATTACTTAATTGGCATTTCATAATGCGTGTGCATATAATTTAGTAAAGTAATTTTCCTGTTGTGGATACCACTTACATAATTGCCAATTAGAGATGTCAAAAACCAATCATAGCTCCTTCTTATTAAAATTTAATCAAGTAAATGTTTGGAGAATCACTGTGTGCCCAACAATGTTTCTGTATGTAGCAGGTCATTGCAAGCTTGAGTGAGGCCAACCTCTGAGCCATCAACCTTGAATACAGTGACAATATCCAATTTGGAGACCTACGAATCCAACATGTTCTCCAGTCCCACAAATACCATTATCTGCATGATTTATGCTATAACAATGTTCAGGATATTGGTTAGCAGGGATTCCAAACAAAAGATATTGAAGAGCTTTAAACAACTCAACATCTGGCCCTTGAAAGCTACTGATGAATTACTTTCTACCCTAAATAGAGGGCCTGTCTAGAAACCATGGTTGTGTAGTTTCTGTGTCTTTCCTTCTATTAACCTATGCCAGAACCACTTAGTCAAACTCTTGGTCTTTGCTTCCCCTTTTAAACATTTGATCATCCTTCTTTTATGAGGATATGTCTTCTTAAGACAGGTTTCATAAAACTGATGAAGACTTATTTCTTGGTTAAATCAGAGTCCTCACATAAGCATAATGTTCATTTATGTTCTTCTCCAATTTTTCCTCACCAGCATGTTTTCAAATCACTCCTTAAGGTAACTTACTTGTTTTCTCCATTATATATGAAATATTTTCTTGTTTAACTCTCAGACTTTAAACATAAATTCAAGGTTTAGTATTGAACCCACCCAATGGGCTAGTACATTTCCAGCTAAATTGAAACAGTAAGAGTGCCCACCATGAAACAATAAGAAAACAGGTGAACACTATAAATGATGAAAATTCAACGAAAGGAAAGATTGATACAACTGGAATAATCAGATGAATTTTTATAGACGAGGAAACATTTTGGTAAAGATATCTGCAAACTAATTTTATCTTAAACTAAGTTAAAAGTCCATGCAGGTGGAAATTATTACATAAATCTTACTATATTCAGCCTCAAAGAAGCTAAAATTGGTAAGTACTGCAACATGTGAATCATTCTGTTATGGGGTTCAGCCTCACTGGGTGTAATACAATGGGAGACACGCTGCTAATATTTTACAATGAGGATAATAAAGTCAAATATTAATATTCATGCTCATAACGGTAGCTCTTGTCCAGACAATTGGATTCAGAATTTAGAAAAGTGTTACTATGTCTCCAAAAACTGGGAAATTTGGCACACCAGTCAAAAGAATTGTTTAAAGGAAGGCTCCATGCTGCTACAAACTGACAGCAAAGAAGAAATGGTAAATAATATTTTGTGAGCTCATGTTATTTTGAAAGTACCATGTTGCTTATTAAGAGAAATCCCAGATTCACACAAGCTAGCATTCCTTAATATTCTACAACAGTAGTATAATTGTTAAAATAAAAGTTTAAAAGGGACAAAGTAAGAATTAGTATGTTTTATTTTCCTTTTAATGGGAAAAACATAAAAACAGAATGGTTATCCAGAAATTGAGAAGAATCTGATTGTTCTATGTGATTGGTTAATTATAAAGAGGGTGGAATAAGGAGAATACCATTTTGTGGCATGCTAATCTACTTCAGGATACACACACACACACACATGCACACACACAAAAACACACATATACATTGTAGTTGCATATATGTTTTAAATGTATTATTTTCAATGTTGTAGGCAAATATAGCAATTATACAAATCTTGTAATTATCAAGGAAAAACAAGAATAAAAACTGAAGTTATGCCACAAAACAGATAGGTCTTTAAAAATCAGTATTTGTTAAATAGAATGTTTAATTGGCATTAAACCTAGTTTACCAATACCTTAATAAGTGAAGAGTAAGCTGTTTCCCGAGCCCACTCTACCTACAAATATATATGAATAGAATGCAAAATTACACATTTTTGGCCCTATGTAAAATATATACCTGCTATATTCAGTAATTGGTTGAAGTTCACTTCCATAAGAATCATGAGAAAATAATTTGTTAAGGACATGCAGTAAACCAAGAAGACTCAAACTAAATTATTACAATTATAGGTTCAAATTAGAACACAAATTAGAAATGCTTCTTCTAATCAAATATGTTCATAGTTAAGTTGCTTCTGGAATCTTCTGAACTATTTTCCACATTGAAGTATACTGAGAAAGACTAATGTGTGTGTGTGGTCTATGATGTCAAAAGTATTTTTACTTTTGATAATGATGATTCATTTTAACACTTATATTTTTTGACATATACAACCTTCCAGACTCTGAATATGTGAAAAAGATTTTAATCCCATTTGTCTATTTTTTTATACTTCTTAACAGTAAAGTGATCAAATAGAAAAAAAGTCCATAAAACGTATCCGCACTTTTAAAATAATACTCTCTTCTCTTTTTTTTCAGCTTTCAGGTTCACATAAACTTCTAGCTAGGCAAAATGTCACACTTTATATTTCACTGTACTGTGTTTTTCTCAGTTCGCAGTTCAGGTCTTGTTTCTTACAATATATTATTTTATTTATTTTCTTATACCTTTATCATTTTTTATTTCATCTTATACCTGCCAGATGTCAGCCAGAGCTCTCCTGCATGAAGTGTCTCTTAGGATAAATGGGAGTCAGGGAGCCACTGGAGGAGGCAGTCTGTTTCTCATCAGAGCTCAAGTGCTATGCTGTGAACTCTGCTGCTCCCTTCAGAGCTGCTGGGCATGGACGTTTAAGTCTGCTGAAGTGGAACTCACAACCGCTTGTTTTCCCAGGTGCTCTGTTCCGGGAAGGTGGGGCTTTATTTATGTCCCTGATGGGGTGTTGCCTTTTTTCAGAGATATCCTGCTCAGCAAGGAGGGAGTCTAGTCACAATCTGCCTGCAGAGGCACTGCTGAGCTGCCCCAGGCTCCGCCCAGCTGCTGTGTAAACTTCCTTGTGCTTTTGTTTACACAAGTAAGGCCAGTTACAATTGCGATCATTAAAAAATCTGGAGACAACAGATGCTGGAGAGGATGTGGAGAAATAGGAACACTTTTACACTGTTGGTGGGAATGTAAATTAGTTCAACCATTGTGGAAGACAGTGTGGCGATTCCCCAAGGACCTAGAAATAGAAATTCCATTTGACCCAGCAATCCCATTACTGGGTATATATCCAAAGGATTACAAATCGTTCTACTATAAGGACACGTGCACACGAATGTTCATTGCAGCACTGTTTACAATAGCAAAGACCTGGAACCAACCCAAATGCCCATCGATGATAGACTGGACAGGGAAAATGTGGCACATATACACCATGGAATATTATGCAGCCATCAAAAACGATGAGTTTGTGTCCTTTGTAGGGACATGGCTGAACCTGGAAACCATCATTCTCAGCAAACTGACACAAGAGCAGATCAAACACCGCATGTTCTCACTCATAGGCAGGTGTTGAACAATGAGAGCACATGGACACAGGGAGGGGAGCATCACACACTGGGGTCAGTTGGGGGGAAATAGGGGAGGGACGGTGGGGGATGGGGAGTTGGGGAGAGATAGCAAGGGGAGAGACGCCAGATGTAGGTGATGGGGAGGAAGGCAGCAAATCACACTGCCACGTGTGTACCTATGCAACAATCTTGCATGTTCTTCACATGTACCCCAAAACCTAAAATGCAATAAAATAAATGAAAAAAAAAAAAAAAAAAGAACTGCCTCCATGATGGTGGAAGGCCTTGGTAAGGACAACTGCCTCTGTAATGGCAGAGGCCTTTCCCACCACCGAGCTCGACTGTCCTGGGTGAGCTCAAACAGCTGTGCTGGCTGCGAAAATCCCAAGCCAGGGGGATCCAGTTTGCTGGTCTCTGTGGGGGTGGGACCCGCCAAGGCAGATCACCTGGCTCCCTGTCTTCAGCCCCCTTTCTCTCAGGGGCACGGGTGGCTCTGTCTTGCAGAGGCTCCACGCGCCAGCCAGAACAGCCGCTCAGATTGGTGCTGGAAACCCACGGCGCCTGTCAGCCCAGGGGGAATCTCCCGGCATGTGGGCTGCAAAGACCACAGGAGAAGTGTAGCCTGCGAGCCCCAGCGCCAGAGCGGCCAGAAAAGTCCCCGATGGCCTCAGTTGGGTAGGAGGGGGTCCTCCGTCCTGTTGCACTTCCCCGGTTAGGCCGTGCCCCACCCTGCCTCAGTTTGCTACACTCACTGTCCAAACAGTTGCATTGAGATGAACCTGGTACCTCGGTTGGAAAAGAGGAGATCACTTGCTTTCTGCATAGCTAGCTGTTCTTATTTGGCCATCTTGGCCGAAGTCCTCTTATAGGATTTTATTACTGGCAGCTTAAGGAAGATCAAAAGAAACTACCAACAGTGAATTGGGGATCTTCTCTCTCTCCCACTGAGTTCTAAGTTAGCGTTACACAAAGAAAAAGAAAAGGGGGAAAAAACTGTCCTACAAATGTAAAGAGGCTTTGTTACATAGTTTGGTTAATGTATATTAAATGTGAAAAAGAAAAAATGTATAATAATGATATTGGTAGCATAATAGTAGATATTACTAGAGCCTAAAAATCTATTCATGCAATGAAGCATGTACAAAAGTCATGTACATTTTAAGTCGGATGATCCTGCTGTTTGTAGTCTTCAAAAACTGTAAGAATCTCTCTACAAAGAATGTGAGTCCCAAATACTAAAGCTGGCCCGGAGACAACCTACTAGGCTCTCCTGTTGTATTCATAATCTGTTTGCATCCTCAAAATAAAAGCTTTTGATCACCCTTCTGTCACTTCCCCATACTTCCTGCTGTCACAGGACTTACGGCCTGTTTTCTGTTGATAAATCCTGAGAGCGAGTTCAGTATCCTCAGGAAAAGAAAGAGCTTATTGTGTACTGGAGGATCTCAGCACTACCAGGAAAGACCAGGCTCCTCGTTTGACTTTTCCTGCAATTTCCTCAAAATTATATAAACAAGAACCTAGAAGAGATAAAAAGCCTCCTCATGCTGAAAATCCACTTCATGTGGTACCCTTCTGCAATTCTCAACTGGATATTGTTCTCAGCAAGTCAGAGTTAAAAATTCATTTATGATTATTTCCTATTCTTAAAATCGATTACAATAAAGTGTGTCGAGTGAATGTTATGGTCTTTTTCTGTTAATTTAAAATGTTTGTTTATATTGTGATTAATCTTGTGAGTGTTGCCATACAGATGAGGGGATTGAGGGCAAAGATGAAGAAGAATCAGCTCAGGGAAGGAGCAGAAGTATGCCAAATATATGCTGTTTTTTTCAACCTCTCTATCGAAAGTGACACTATCCCTTAGTTACAGACTTGGAATGAGAATACCATTCAACACTCACTCTGCAGGCAGCTGGACTCTTCACATCAGTGGCACTTAAAGAGAGGCTGGCCATCCATCCCTGAGCTAGACTGCAGCTACACAGGTGATAAGAGTCAAAACTTGAATGAATGCATGCCTCTGTTTTAAAGCTTAATCCACCAAATCATTTGACTTTCTCTTAGCCATATTTTCTTTCTGTAGCAACAAGGTTTACATAACTTCCTTAACTGCAGGCTTACTTCTCATTTTTTGTGATGTGCCTATTATCTGAACTACTTCCACTGAACATCTGCACTCATTGTAGAAAATATGAATCCCTAGAATCCTTAGCTCCCCAATGTAGATGCCCTTTTATAATTTGTTTATGAAAACAGATCTCCAAAGAAAGTTTATGTATGTTTGTGCTCCCCTATATTTAAAAATGAATCACTAATTCCTTTGCAAAGTCTTTTATATAACAATTTAGATTATGAAACTAATTCCACATTTACCTCGTTACAACTAACAGTAACATTATGAGGAAATTTTAACTATTTCTACTTCATATAAAATGAAATACATTTCGTGAAGTAAAGTGATTTGCCAAAGAGTCAATCAGAATAGGTCTAAAATCATCATTTTCTGACCACAAATGCAATTTTCTTTGCATGACACAATATATCAACAGAACTTGTTCAACCCTGAAGAAATTTGAAGCTAATCAAAAGAAAATTGAAAGAAACCTTCTCAAAGAAGAATCTGAAAGTCGTCTTTGGTAAGTGACAATCTTATGAAATAAAGTCTTATGAGAATAAACACAAAAGTATTCTTTCTGTTATATGATTCTTGCTCTCTGTCATTTCACCATGAGAAAGAGGTTTCCAAAAAACAAACTGAAGCACCTCAGTTTGCATTGTTGAAAACAAAGATTTATAATATGTTTATAGTATGTTATCCTTTTTGGTATTAAAGCCCCTAAATTGATTTATCAATAAACCAAAAAAACTTGGTGGCTGTGTTAGTGTCACTCACAATGATCCCTGTTGTATTTGTGCATGGAGTCATCTCAAGAAAGAAGTGCCCACCAAAAGAGTAGCTATGCAAATGTCACCGTCTCTGTTCATTTCTCATGACCTGTTTGGAAATAATGTGCCCTAATTCAACTCAGCTTACTCAGCAACAGTGTGTTGATGCCTTAAGCTTGCCTCAAAAGATTTCAATTTAGAAAAGTGTTAAAACTGTTCTCTTGAAGACAGGTATTTCAAAAACATCTTATTTATCCCAAATAATCACACAATCAGTACTCTTGTAGAGTTCCCATAAACCGTAAGTAAGCAGAATCAAAATAATGATTGTTTTTTCACATTTTTCATAAAACATTCCCATGCTAAATTTCCCCCCAAATTGTATGTTCATTGTAAAATCACTCACACTTCACAGTATTTACATTTATTACTATTAAATCTTCAGTACCTGAAAGGTGTAAGTATTACTGAAATGGAAGGAAGTGGGAACTGAACTCAAACTATTACAAGTGCAGATGTAGTGATTGACTTTTTCTCCAGTCTTCAGTCTTTCTGAAAGGAATATTGGGGATAGTAATTCTGATATGGTTTCTAGTATTAAACCCCCCAAATTAATTTATCAACGAACCAGTGAACTCAGTGAGTTTAGGATGTATTTCTTTTCTGGGAGAAATTCCCATGTAAGGGAGAAAATTATCAAAGTCTTAATGGACAAAGAGAGGAATGTTTATAAGACATTGAGATTCTCATAAAAAGAGACATCTCTGTTGGGAAACAGGCCATAGACATGGTAGATGGGGTCTTTATTGAGACACTGGGAAGTGAATACTATAAACTGGAACAAAAAAAGAATTTCTTGTGCATTTGGTGGTACAATCTGGGGAGTGACTGCTAATTTCTCATGGACTACTTGACTGTCAGGGGAAATGGTGTTACTTCCATGTACTTCCTCTACTTCAAAAAGTTTCTCACTCCTCCAAGTGTAAGAAAGACATGGAAACAGAGAGGTGATATTAGATGTTGAGAAGAAAGAAAGCTAAAAGTTATCTCTAAACCAAGAAGGTAGATGACATTACGGGTTTCTGAGGTTGGTTGGTGGCATGTAAACAGGGCTTCTTGTGACTGGACTCAAGCTGAGAAATGTTGGTGATCCTGAACAGGAAACATGAAGCTCTCATACTAGTCAGAGAGATAGTCTTTCCTGATTACATTCCATTTCCCAGTGTCTCAAGTAGCCTTGCATTGGCTCTACTCTGTTGGTAGTTGCAGCTAGAAAGAAAAAATCACCTTTGCCTAATGGTTCAGGGAGGCTAATGGAGGCTCTCCAGCTTCACCATTGCCACCCTCCTCTCACACACACATTGCCTGAACTCTTGGCAGTTCTTTGAGAAAGCCATTCTATTGAGGATGGCCACACTGTGTCTGCTTCTTATGATGGTGCCATCTATTATAATATCAAACCTTTAAAAAGGGGGAAAATAAATTTAGTCAGAGCATTTTTTATTTTTAAATATTTTCTCTAATTATTTTCATTTATAATAAAAGGTTAAAATAATTTTTTAAAATTACACAATTTAAACCTTTAACTTTATAGTGAAAGAAATATATATCCTAGAGAGATTAAGAAAAACACATAATAGTTAGCAACAGAGCAGGGATTAGCATCCAGACCAAACATTATAATCACAGTTTATTTCTAAAATAAAATATTAAATATCCATTCTTCCAAAGGTGATAAAATTATAGTCTAGATACCAGAGTGAGTTTACTGGAAACATGAGGTCACCTGCCTCTTTTTTTTAGCCCCTCAATTTTCATACTTGTTCTTAGAAAGGGCATGTCACCCAAAACAACAAAAATTTTTTCAGACTAAAACTAACATATGTGTTCTCCAAATTTATATGATTTTCCTGCCACTTAAAAGTTATCTACCTTCTCTGTAACACAGTTTACTTAACTATAAAATACCAATGATTGCACTGAATATGTAATCATTTCAGTGCTTTCTCCTGGGAGCACAAATGCTATATTGCATATAGGGAAGAATGATGTCTGTTCAAACATGGCTTTAAGTGTAACATACTTGATAGAGAAATTACATTTTCCTGTTTCAAAGGATGCTGATATTGTTTGGATGTTTCTCCTCTACAAATTGCGGTTGAAATATAATCCCCAGTGTTGGAGGTGGGGCCTGATGGGAGGTGTTTGATCCCCAATGTTGAGACGGAGCCTAATGGGAGGTTTCTCAGTCAAGGAAGCAAATCCCTTATGAACAGCTTGGTGAGTTCTTGCTCTATCAGTTGCTAGGAGAAATGATTGCTAAAAAGAGCGTTGCATGTTCCTTCCCAATTTCTTGCCTCCTGGAATTTTGTTACATGAACTGCCAGCTCCCATTCATTTTCTAACATTAGTGGAAGTTGCTTGAGGCTCTCAGAAGAAGGAGATGCTGGCATCAGGCTTCTTGTAGAGCCTGCAGAATTGGGAGTCAAATAAAGCTTTAAAAAAAAAAAGTAAATTACCTAGATTCATGCATTCTTTTATAGCAACACAAAGAAAGACATTGATCATCTAATTTTACATTTTAAAATACACTTACTTCTAACACCTCACTAGAGTAAGTGGTCCATGAGAGCAGAAATCCCGTGTGTTTTGTCAGGTATGCATCAGTAGGCATTCAATAATTACTGCAACCGTACCAGTAATACTAACTAAATGAGTAGATAAAGACCACTTTTGTGGGTGGATGGATGGATGGATAGATGAATGGATGGAAGAATGTCTACTGGGCAAGATGAAAGTAAGAAATAAAAAGTAGCAGATTAAAACTCAGAACCAACATCTAACCAAAAATATATGAGAATTTTAATAAGACTAAGAAACATTAGTATATTTGCATGCAGATTTTATATTTTAATTTTACAATTTATTTCAGGACCTCTCTTTTTATTTCTTTCTATATACCCGGATGAAAATTTCAAAGACCATTTGTGTTTTTAAAAAAATCTGGATTACGTATTGAAAAAAAATTTTTTTGAGATGGGTGTTTACTATGTTGCCCAGGCTGGTCTTGATTTCCTCGGCTCAAGCCATCTTCCAATCTCAGCCTGTCAAGTAGTGAATCATCTTTCTGAAGATATGGCAACCGACAAAGGAAATCATGCACACTGGGTCTTTAGAAAAACTAGAAATTAAGAAAATTATGAACACAGAGATCATTAGTCATGTGGTAAAGAATTCCTTGGAAAAGTGAAACTCTGCCTATTATTATTTACCAGATAACCACACAATCAGGATGTCTGTTTCAGGTGGGAAGTGGTGTGTGTATGGTAGATGAGAAGACTTTGCCGTACTTTAAGTTCCTAAAAGGTAGGTAAAAAGTGGAACCCTGAACATGTATGGTATTTCCTAAGTAAGCATGATATATAGAGAAGAAGAGAGAGCTGACTGGAATAAAATGGATCTTCACAAAACCTAAAAGGAATAGGAGAATAGGAACACACACACATACACTGAAGTCATGTTTCTAGACTTCTTCAGCAGTATTTTTATTTTTTATTTCCTAAGTCTGCCTTGAGTCTTCAGCAGTATTTTTATCGAAAAATGGTGGTTCACCTATCACTGGTATTTTCATCATCTATGGTCCATATTAAAATACATATTGTAAAAAAAAAATTGGAATTGAAATCTGGTTATCTGCATTTTTGAACCAGTTCCTGTATGACTTTTAAAATTTGAGAACCACAGTTATGAGTTTGTCAACTTCTTGCTAGGAAAGGATTTGTAAGAACATTTGCCAAGGCAAATTGAGACATAACCTGGGATTTTATGTACTCACAGTGTTATTTTAGTTATTCTCAGTTAATTGTTTTTATTGTTTTAAGTGTCTGCATTTGAAGAGTCCCTTCATCTATGGTGACACAGTTACATATGAACAGTATGTTCCCAATAACTGGTCGTGATCTTGAAGCCCAAACACTTTACTCAGTTTACCAGATCATTAGTTAAATAATGCTTGGCTCTCAGTTTTGCTGGTGAGAATTCCAGCTCTTTATTGCCAAATAATCACGTGAGAAGCGTCACCAGGACACGCTTATCTCCAATTTTGTTATAGAGCTCACGACAGAGTTTTTCAGCCACATGCTGCAAGAGATTTGCAGCTGTTGAAGAGATTTCAGCTGTTGCAAGATACTTTCTAATATTTCTTTCATTTCAGAGATGGTATCTTGCTGAGTACTGGAGAGTTTATAGTACTGAAAAACTAACCCAAATGACCACATCAGACTAGAAGGCTTATTTGTAGCTATAGTTTTTATTTTTTGAGATGGAGTCTTGCTCTGTCACCAGGCTGGAGTGCAGTGGTTCAATCATGGCTCACTGCAACTTTCACCTCCCAGGTTCAAGCGATTCCCCTGCCTCAGCCTCCCAAGTAGCTGAGACTACAGGTGCATGCCATCACAGCCGGCTAATATTTTGTATTTTGGTAGAGACAAGGTTTGACCATGTTGACCAAGATCATCTCAATCTCCTGATCTTGTATTCTGCCCACCTTGGCCTCCCAAAGTGCTGGGATTACAGGTGTGCACCACCATGCCCAGCCTTTATGTTTTATGTCTTGTTTCTGCATATAGGGAAGACCAAACAGTATTATTTTTAGTATCTCGGGTTCTGAAATCTCACATTGCCTAATTCAAATTTTGACTTCAATACATATATTATAAATTGTACCATTTGGGCAAATTAATTTCTTTGAGTTTGTCTAAAAATGTGGAATCATGGAGAGAAAATGACAGAGAGGAGACAAGAGTAAGGTGCAGCTCCCACTTGGAAAACAGAATAGTGTGTGGAGACTCGCACTGTGAACTTTCGTTTCCAAGAACCACCTCAAGATTGTACCAGGGGATAGCTGAATGAATTCACAAATCCTTTGAAATAAATGGCTTGTCAATGCAAATTCTGCAAGACAGCCTAAAAAGTATGACGGGGAAAAACCGGCCTCTGAGCACACATCCCCACTGGGGAACCTAAAAACCCAGATCTCCTATTCTCTCATAGAGAATAGGATCTCCAGATCTCTCATTCACACTATTGCAGGCAAATCTGTGTTCTTTC